CGAAATGAAGTAATTTATCTTAAACACAAAAAAAAAAAATAATGATTAAGAAATTTTGTTTTTTCTTTTAATTTTTTGTCTACAGGCTTGCGATCGTTTATTAGCACATCGTGTTGATATTAAATTAAAAAGTCGTAAAGTAAATGATGTACTTAATCGTTTACATGTAGCACAACCACAAAAACGTGATGAACGTGTACGTGCACCATATATACCTGAAGGTGTTATTCAACGTTTAGAATCAATGCAAGTAGCTAATAATGATCAATCTGAACCAAGAAAAAAGAAAACTGAACGTGATTTAGAAATTGAATTAGAAGAAGATTATCATTTAGATTTACGTAAAACATGGTCATTAGAAAATAATGATGAATGTTATGATGTTTTACCTGAAATTTATCGTAATAAAAATGTTGCCGATTTTATTGATCCAGATATAATGACAAAATTAGAAGAATTAGAACGTGAAGAAGAAGCACGTGATGAAGCTGGATTTTATGATATTGATGAAAGTGAAGATGATGAAGAAACAACAGCTATAAGAAAATTAGCTAAAAAAATTCGTTATAAACGTCAAGTTATTATTGGTGAAGCACGATCAAAAAAACAAGCTCGAAGAACACCATCTGTACCAAGACCAAAACGTACTGTTGCTCGTGAACATTTAGAAAATACAATGGATGAATTAGGAATTGATATGGATAATAAAGAAGATGTAAGAAATATATTTTCTTCTTGTCTAGTTAAATAACGGGAGAGAGAACATCATAGTCATTCTCAGTTTTTCTCCAATTATAAATTACCTCCTAACACTTTCGTAGTAAGAAGTCTGTTGTTTTGCTTTTAACCAGAGAAAAGTTCATTAAACATTCGTAATTTATACTTATATCTAACGTTTCCTATCCTTGAATATATTATTAGTTATTTTCTGAACTTCTCGAACGAGAAAACCTCTCCAAATGATAAAAAGCTTTTGAGTTCAAATTTTGTCCACAAGTAGAGGATTGCATAGATTAGAAAAAGCCTAAAAGAGTATGAGCCCAAGTTACGATAACGACCATTTACTATAATTTTCCTATAGAATCCTATTTTTCTGATAAAATTAAAGTCACAAGTTTAGATCTGAAACTTTGCCCATACCAAGGCGTCAATCAGACAAGCTCGCCTAGAAAGTTTCAGAATTTTTTGAACAAACTATGGATTCTCCAAAATATCCATAAAAAAGTGTCTTTATGCTAACTTACCAGTATCTCAAAGATAGTCTATCCAGAAATTCTGAAGTTTTGTAAGCAAGCTTGTCTGATTGAAGCCTTGGTGTGGACCAAGTTTCAGGTCTAAACGCGTAACTTTAATTTTATCGGAAAAATAGGATTCTATAGGAAAATTATACTAAATAGTCGATATCTCAGTTAAATCACAATTTGGGCTCATATCCTTTTAGGCTCTTTCTAATCTATGCATCCTCTTGTTGTTAGTGCTTTATCTGGATTTCGTTTCTCGAGTGAGTGAATCAAAATTTCGGGTGAGAACAGCCCATCCATTCGATAAATCATTGCTAGTTGTGGGCAAAATTTGAATTCAAAAGCTTTTTATTACCTAGAGATAATGTATTGGCTGTCCTTAGGGTTCAAGCAAAACATAATTTTTATTATTTACCTATTTGGTATTTTGTCTTCTAATGACATTTCACAAGCTCATAACATGCTTTCTATTGTGAGTTGTTGTTCAGCATAGTTTTCAGTAGGAAATGTCCTTGTATGGGAAAACTTACGTAGTTCATCCTTCTATAATACATGAATTATTTATTCATAGTACGAAAGTAAGTGCCAATTTCTGAAGGAAGAGTCAGCCTATCTCCTGCAGAAATAGACTTATTAAGTTGATTGAATCTTTTTTTTTAGTCACATTATGTTGCTAAAATGCATGAAACACGTAGCCGTTCATTGAATCGACCTGAAGTAAAACGTAAACGTGAAGATTCGGAAGGTAATGTACGTAGTAGTTCAAAAGTACCTCGTGATCAATCTGGTGTACGGGATGTAACAATGGCTAAGAAAGCAAGAAAAATCAATAAAGTTAGTCAACGTAAAATGAATTTGGGTGCTAAAACTGGAGAATCTGATAGAAGAATATTTGTTAAAAAACCCAAACATTTATGTAAGTTAAAAATCTTGTATAATTAATAATTTTGATGTTTGTTTTGTTTTTACAGTTTCCGGCAAACGATCAACTGGCAAAACAGATCGACGATAGTCTTTGTTTTGTATTGTTTATTGTTATGTTTTTCGGAATAAATAAAGAAAAAAAAAACACTTTTTACGAAAGACAAAAAGAAAAATGTTGTTTTTTTTTATGATCATTTCTTCTAGATAGATAAAGAAGAATGGCTCAACAAAAATCAATTACATTTTTCTTTAAAAAAAAACGTGAAATATCGGATGTAGATGAAAATGAAGATGTAAAGGAGGTAAATATATCAATCTTAAAGAAATTATCTGTTCAATTATAATCATTTTGTCCTGAACAATATACAACAATCAATTGAAAATTTCAGTTTTTTTTTGTTCGAGATGGTATTGAAGAACTTGTAATGGAATTCAGATACGTACACGTTTCTTCCAGTCTGCATTGATTTATGGGATATGTCACAACGTTTTATGGATATGTGCTAAAGCTCGGAACAACCTCATGAATCTTTGGTAACTGATGTTCAGTCTTTAGCTTACCAGAAAACATAGCCTAGTATCAGACGCCATTCGGTCTCTGTAAGACTGAAAAAACTTCAACAGATTGGTGTTCATAACCCAATGATATTTCGATTATAGGTACGTTCGATAGTCATTGTCTTCATATTCAATATTCAAGAAAGCAACGATGTACCATAGGGGAACACAGTAATTAAGTCTATTAAGAAAAGAAATATTTCGAGAAAAATACGTTCGTTCTCATTGAAACTTTCAGGACTATTAAACGTACTCATAGGTAAAATTTCAGTTCGAAACTCTTTAGTTTTAGTTTACCTGAAATGCCGTAGTTTCAATAAAAATCTCGTAACTCTTTATCACTAGATCGTAAACTCGAATCCTTTTAAACTCTTCGCAGTCTCACCGAGACCTACTCGCAAACATAATACAAAGTCGAATGACGTCCGACAGATATATATGTTCCTTAGTTAACGATTTCAGATCACAATAGACGTACGGTCAAAATTTTGAATCTTTAAGACGATCAAATACTACTAGATTCAAGACTTCATTCATGTTTAGTTGTGAACAATCGTTAAGATGTTCAGCTATAAAATATTTTTGAACTTTCTTTCCTAATCATAACAACTAAACTAACCTGTTTTAATAGAAAACTGTATTAGCTACTCAAATCTTTTCTGTGATTTTTTTTGTAGCTGTTATCTTTAAGAAAAAAATGCTACATTTCAAAACTTCTTTATTTTCACTTTATAAAAAAATAATAATGATTGGTTATCTCTTCCTCTTCTTTTTTTTCCAGCCTGTTGCTACTACACCAAAACGAATTAAAACAGCATCAAATACACCAGTAGCATCACCTTTACGAATGTCTCAATCAAATTCCAATGTTAATTCACCAAATGTACCAAAAACTGAAGAAGAAAAACGTTCAGTTGAACGTGCAGAAAATAATCGTATTTTAGCAAAGCTGAAACTTGAAGCTAAAGCAACACGTGGACTTGTTGTTGATATGGGTGTATCATGGTATAAAGCATTTGAAAAAGAATTTTCTAAAGAATATTTTCAAAAGGTACATGATTTTTTTACAATTATGCATATGAAAAGAAAAACTAACACAATGTTTTTCTTTTCTTTTTGATTAGTTAGCAAATTTTATTGCTGATGAACGAGACAAAGGTATTACAATTTATCCACCACCACATCATGTTTTTACATTTACACGAATGTGTGAATTGAGTGAAGTTAAAGTTGTTATTCTTGGACAAGATCCATATCATGGACCAAATCAAGCACATGGTCTATGTTTTTCAGTACGAAAAAATGTTCCACCACCACCAAGGTTTTTATTGAACAAAAAAACAAAAATCTTTCAGGCGAATTTATTTATTTATTTATTTTCTTTTTTAAGTCTACTAAATATGTATAAAGAATTAAAAGCTGATATACCAAATTTTGTTATTCCAAATCATGGTACATTATCTGGTTGGGCAAGACAAGGTGTTTTATTACTCAATGCTTGTTTAACTGTTGAAAGAAATAAAGCTAATTCACATAAAGGAAAAGGATGGGAAAAATTTACAGTAAGAAAATTTTTTCAGAAAAAAAGATTTTTAATTTCTTTTTTGTGTAAGGATGCTATTATTCAATATCTTAATGATCGTTCAGCCAATATTGTTTTCTTACTCTGGGGTAGAGATGCTCAAAATAAAGGAGCACGAATTGATAAAGTAAATTTGAATATAATTTATTTTGATAGAAATATTTTTTATGTTTAATATATTTAGAATCGTCATCATGTTCTAACAGCTGCTCATCCATCACCATTATCGGCTCATAATGGATTTATGGGTTGCAAGGTATTTAAATCATGGTTTTTTTTGTGTATTAAGAATTTAATCTTATTGATTTTCTAGCATTTTTCTAAAACAAATGCTTATCTTAAAGCTGCTGGTCTTGCTGAAATTGATTGGTCAAATTTACCATCAGAAGATGAAATGCCATTTGATTAAAATGGGACTATATTATTTTGACTGTCTCATATATTATAAATTTATTTATTTTGTATAGTGTTCTTTTTTTTCTCGTGAGCTTATGGTCGCTTTCGCATGTTCTCGGATGTGATCAATTATACTTATCTAGTCTTTCTACTTTATCAAACTTATTGTCAGATATTTTTTTTCTTTTACATCTAAACTTATGTTAAATTTCTCTTGATTATTTTCAATAAAGAAAAAAAGTTATATCTAACAATCATAATGATTCTTCGATAATTAAGATATATGTAAAATCTTACTGATGATAACAAAAGAAGGTAACAAAACAGGATCATGGAATAAAGTAGCAAATAATGTTCCTGTCTCATGGGATGCTATAGGAGGCATTGTCATGAGCAAAGGAAAACGACTATTTTACTACAAATTAACAATTGCTGATATTGCCACTCGATCAGTCACCACAAAAAGTTTATCAGGACATTCTTTTCCTGTCACTTCAATGTTATTGACTACGCATACAACCATGGACCTTGTTCGATGGTTACAAGAATTTGAAGCAGCACACTTTAGTAAAAGTGTCAAGCACTTAAATATTACACAAAGAAGAAAGTAAGCATCTATCGATTTATATGTAATATTCACTTTAAATGCTTTTAGGTAGCGTTTGCTCTGTGGTTCATATCATTATTAGTAAATTCGAATAAAATAGAAGAAATGAGTGATAGTTAGGAACATATGTGTGGCTCTTCTTAGTCCAACACAAAATGCGTCATTTTCGATATCTATTTCGTGTGTGTCTTGTGCAGCCGATAACATTAACAAGAATCTGAACAAAAATAATTTTATTATTAGAAACGTTCAAGTTTATGCACAAGATGAATGTCGCTATTCAACAGCATTAGATCAGGTATGATTAGAAAATTCTTAGTTCTTCTAAATGTAAAAAAGATGAACTTGTCTCTGGGACATTATTTATTAAAGAATAAAAACGGTATATGATTATTGCTTTGAGAATTCGATGAATATGTAGAATTTATTGGGATACCAGGATTAAGAGAAAGGCAACTCATTTTTATTTATTTAGACTCTTAATGAAACAGATCTTGAAGCAGATGAAATTGAAAATAGTGTTAGTCAACAAAATGCTACAGATGCAAGTGAAAGTACTTTTTCGCGATTGTTTTAGCAAGATATATGATGATCAAACGAAAACTTGTGCGATGTTTACGGACGAAAACTTTCAGAAATACACGGAAAATTCATAGTAAAATCTCTCTTATTTAAAACGTATTCTCTCTCTCTATACTTACCTACGGCACCAATTTGAAGTAATTTAATGATGGGAAATTTAGAACGTTATGGTTATCGAGCTACCAAAACGATTGAGCATTGTGATAGTCATACCAATAGAACTACTGGAATTTCTGAATCTCGACTAAAAGTAATAAAGCACACTATTCTTCGTGGTGAGGTATCGTCACGAGTTGATCAAGTTGTTAAAACACTTGGTTCTAATATTCGTCAAACTGAAATAAATTATTCCAATCATTACTTACATAATTTAACAGGAAACAGAAGTGTACGAACGAAAAAACTATTAGCTGAAGAAACATGGAATAAACGTGCGCCATCACCAACTACTACCAGTATTTATTCTGAAAAACCGAAGTTATCACTTGTAGCTCAAGTAAAAAAAGCTCTTAACAGTAAAACTAATACCGATAAATAATCTATTGGTGAGTCAACTTTGGAACAGTCAGATTATTTCTGTTTTCGATGTCTGAGTTAAGTTAAAGATTCTCGCAGTTGAAAATAATGGTCTTATTAAAATAATCTAGCTAATGGATTTTTCTGAAAAATACGTGAAACCTAATATTTATTGTGTCAACAAATATAACTCAATCTAATAAACAAGTATAACAAAACTAAGCGTTAGTGATTATTGCTTCTCCTTTGAGTAAGCAGTTTTAATAGACCATCCTTAAAAAGTTAATGCTTACATGCAGATTTTCTCATACCGTTTTCATAGTATAGAATGACTATTTGAAATTAAACAAGAAATGTTTATTTTGCAGAATAACTGCATTTTTTTTCAATAATGGATTACAATGATGAAATGTTCATAAAAATTGATTGAATTGAAATCATTGTTCATAATGGATATGTTCAACATTTGAATACTATAACTTTGATTCAATAACATTTTAAATTACACCTCCTTGGTTAAAATATTCTTTGAATCAATGAATTTGAAGTATGTAACTTGTAGTCTGTTTCATCATCGGCAATAACCTTTTTCTGATATAGAGTCGATTAAAATTCGTAAACTTTTTTTTTTAACTATGAGTTTCATTGTTGACATAGAATGTATTTAATTTTAATACTTTTTAGAGTGAAATTGTCATTAAAATTTGAATCTATATGTAAGAAGCATGGCGCTCATTGTGAAAATCGAACTTCCTTCGCTTATTTCATTTAAGCTAATAAAAAAAATACTATTTCAAGTGAACAATTTTTCATTTTTAAAATCTTTCTTTTCATATTTTAATTAGGGAAGTGGCTATGTGCACTCAAGTAGGTATTATCAACTAGTTACTAAATATTGAGATATAGTATAGCCATATATGTACTTCATAATTAACATGAGTAAAATTTATTAATTTATTAATAATTTTACTCTATTTATTTGTTGTTAAACTCAAATAGAGTATAAAACAAATATTAATATCAAACAAATATAAAAGAAAAAGTTAATTCAAATAAAAATCAATTCATTTAGAAATATTTCTAGCGCTTGATCTCTTAGATTTTGAACGAAATGGTTGAATTTTATTATTTTCAATACATCGGACGGAAACTATATCGATGCCAGTGTTTTTCTTCTCTATTAATTGTGCGTTCTTTCTCTATTGATAATTTATAGAACGAAAGATTCTACGTTTTCTTGATTAATTAGCTTACAAAATGGGAAATTGAAAAACATAAAATTTCAATTAGCTTTTAATCTGGAACGAGATATCCTTTTTTTAAGACCCATTCATTAATCCTCACTAAAGAATAAGAATTAAAACAAGATTATAAACTGAGATTCTTTCGAGATGAGAAAAAATAGCTGTCAAAATTAGAGATACAATCAGAAACGAATGTAAAAGAAAATTTTATCATTATTGTTTTATAAAAAGATATTTTTATATGATTACTGTTAGTTATATTGAAAATAATGAAAATACAACTATTTCCTTGAAAAATTTAAGAGAGTATGTGCTAGAAATATTTGTAAATCAGTCGATTTTTACTTGAATTAACTTTCTCTTTTATATTATTTTGATTGTATACTTGCTTTGTATTTTATTTGAATTTAATAAAGACTAAATAGAGCAAAATTGTTAATCAATTGATAAATTTTAATTATAATAATTATAAAGAACATATATGGCTATAATATAACTCAATATTTAGTAATTTTTTGATAATACTTACCTGAGTGCACATAGCCACTTCCGAAAATTATCTATGGACGATGCCATTGGAGAATTAGATGCAACTAGAGAAGGTTATAAGAAGATGGCTGAATGTGAAAGTACTATTCACACAATTTCAAATGGTGAAATAGAAAATGATGAACAGAGACGTAAGTCATCAAAAATAATTCGACCATCGTCATCTCATCTGCCTCATCACGATAAATTTTTGACATTTGATAATGAATTGAATTTTCCACAAGTTAATTCAAATGCAAATAGGGATCATCTCGCAGTCATTGGCAATATTGTAAAAATGCCAACATGTCCTCGATGAACTGTTAATATGACATAATTTTAAATGAAATATTTTTCGCATATAATAGGGGTTAAGCAATATGTCTAAATCGTAACCGTGATTTGTTCTAAATTGATGATCTTTGAAAATCATTTTTTTTTTGTCTACCATAATTTCCCATTGTGGGGTGTGGGTGTGAGTGTAGATCCTCTCTTCTCAGCAACACCCACACCCACCACCTCAAATCAACATGATGCATATGTGTGAGTTTTAGCTATTAATTTAAACTTACGTTCAATTAAACGTGTATATAATTCATTATATTCTTTCGTTGTTTGTCCAAGTAATATATCAGATTTACGTGAACCATAAATTATTAATGATATCATTAAATCATCTTCATCAAACCATGTACAAAAATATTCATCATATAAATTTAACACTTGTGCCGATGATATAAATAAATAAGAAAGATACATAAATGAACTTATTAATTCATATTTTAATTGAATAAATAAATTATTTGAATTTGTTATTAACTAACGAACATTTAGTTCAATTAGAATTTGTAATGATGATGTTAAATCAAGACCATGAAGAGAAAATAAACGATCGAACAAATGTTGTCCACCAACACCTGTTAATAAAAATGGAATAGATTTATTTCAACATTGATGTCAAATGTCATATCAACTGGATTTCCTGTACAATTTAATCGAAGTACATTTAATAAAAATGTTGTTACAACACGAATTCACACACTCTACAAAGAAAAAAAGAACAGATAAAATCTAGTTTTTTTTAAATCCTTTTACCATTGTGTTACATTTGTTTCTAAAATTTCTCCTGCCGCTAAATTATTTGTTGGTTGTTCACTTGCATCACTAGATTGATTTGGTGATTTAATTCAAGCTAAAAATGAAACGTATATTTCTTGAAATTGTATTCTTGATAAACAACCAACAAATGATATATGCTCGACATAATTAGTCATTATATCCGAATGTTATAATAAATAAACAGGAAATGACGATAAGCAATAATGATTTAAACCAAATAATAATTTATTTATATCTTGATAATGTTGCTCTCCAAATTGTCTTGGTATACGAATAAATGAATTAAATAGTTGTAAACAAAATAATGATATAGTTATCCTAGGTAAGTCACATCGATAAAAATATGGTACATATTTAATTTTTTTTGTTAAATAATAAAGACGATCAATATCACTAAATGATATGAATAATAATTGTGTAAATGGTCGATTATCTGGTTCAATTAACTTTAAGTATCATTGTAATAGTTGATTTTTCTTTTTCTTTTGATACAGTTAAACCATATCGTTAATAAAGATATTCAAATGTGAACAATATAGTTTTTGATCATGTACAACATGATAGACAAAAAATATTTTCAATTTAATTCCAACTAAGAAAAGATAGTTTTTGAAATGTATTTATATAAATGACTTCCAATATAAATATTATAAAATGTAATAAATCACGTATGTCACCTGTTGAAACTTGACATGTTAATTCAACATTATATTGTCCTGTATCAAAATAAATTGATATGAAATCTATTAATGCAATTAAATATAGTTGAATTTTAGAACATGATAAAAGAATTTTTATACTAATTCTATCAGCTGGTGTTTCAACATCATTTAGATTTATTTCATTTGATATTAATCGTTGTGTTGGAAAAGAAAAACATAGATTATTAAATTTTTTTTAATTAATGCGTCTGCTAATGCACACCATAAGGATGGAATATTAATACCAAAGATAAGACTATGAGGCATTAATAATCATACAAAATCCTAGGAAGACAAAAAGAAACACAGATTTATATTGTTTCTTATTTTCTCAAATCAATTTAGATGAGAATCATCCTAAAATGTTATGCTATGAAAAAAAATAATTACTTAACATGGGATGCAACGCTAATAGTGAATGTATGATAAAGCTACGATAGTCTTGAATTAATTTCGTTTTTTTTTTGATCAGAGAAACTATTGCAAGAAAATAGCTGAGTTTTAAAACAAGAGACTTCACGTCGTTTTCGGAGTTCAGGAATCCGAATATATGGAAGGTTGTATGAACTTCCTTAGATCGAAAAAGTCAAGATGAATATAAGATTACCATCATTATTGCATCCTTGGTCCTGAGCTTTCTGTATTTGCTTAGTAGAATCTGTCATCAACTTGAAATTTCTGATTTCTAAAAATTATTTTGAGTTGCCAATAAATAAAACAATAGAAAACATCTTACGAGATATCTTTAAAACTATTTACAATTATTTTCTTCATTAGTCATTTCATAATATTGGAAAGACTTCGTCTTCTTTAGCTGTATCAGTGAGAATAGCACGACTCAGAATTTGACCAGTGAGATTCGAGACGAATGATTTGGTCATTGTACTAATGCAGCTTAATTGCTTTCCTTTACAATACACATTACCTGAAATTCTGCATTTTTTGTTTCTTACCTATGTCATTAAAACTCATTCTACTTTATATGTATGTAGGTACAGCACCCAGGTCGAAAAGTACCGGCCGGTTCCGGCAGGAAAACACCGGAAATCAACGAAACATGGAAGCAGTATTCCGGCCGGAATACTGCTTTCATGTTCCGTTGATTTCCGGTGTTTTCCTGCAGGAACCGGCGATTTTTCCGCGTCTTTCCTGCCGGTTCCTGCAGTATCCGGTGACCGGAACGATCGACCTGGGCAGACCGACTAGATTTATACTCCAAAATATTTTTCAAAATTTGAATTATTCATAAGTCTCATCTATTACTAACAGCAAAACTATATCAAAGAAAAACAAACTTTTGCTTTTAATACGATTAAAATTTTTATTATACATATATATATATATTTATTTATTTTGATAAATTAAATCTAAAAGATACCGGTAACATCACAAATGTTAGTAATTTTTTATAAGTTACATTTTTAAGCATTCGTGTATAAATTTTTCATGTTATATCCATAGAACAATTAACTTTGTTTATCCAATGAATTAGGGTGAATGTAGCTGTGGGTGAGTAGGAGAAAAATTTAAACATACTATAAATTGTTATGTGACTCGTTAATTATTAATATTAACGAATTCAATGGTACCTTTCAATAGTTGTTGATCAATATTAAACGTTACATAATTTGTCAATACTTAATATAAAACTAACTAGCAGAAGTACTCGGCGTTGCTCGGGAAAGTGCACACTTAATATATGCAAACAATAATTAATTGTGCTTGAGAAGATCTGAAAAGTATAATTGGTAGGAAGTAGATATACACAACTACTATTTTTGCTCCCGTGCCAATTTTGATCTAAATCATCAGGCGTATTCTGAGTCTCGATCTCATCTGATCCCACCCTCAAAGAATATAGAATAATAACATTGAAAGATTGCTCCGAGGTGAGGAATCCTCCATCGTTATATGTGTACATCGAGAAAAACTTAGTAGCTCATATCAATTTTATAGACATTCTATATTTCCAAGTGCATCTCGGAGCACATGCTTATCTCAATAGGTTCCGATCCCGACCGGCTGTTGTCTTATCTGGTCAGAGTTTCAGTCCCGATCCCGTAGTTGTCTGCTTCTATATTTAGAGGAAACCCATTTGGAAAATCGATTTTCCGACAAACATGCAAGGAAACTCCGTTTCTATCAAAACCCAACACGACCACACATCTACTTGGTCTAGAACTTCAGTTTTACAATCTCTATTGATTTTAAGAGTTACGACAGTACATCGTGTTTTGCACTGCTGAAAACACACTGAATCTTGATTGGTTGCAAAGAAAAACAGATAAAAAGATCTTCATGCAGAAGTTCTGTTAAGAATTTAATCATTAAAATCTATGGCGAACAAAATCTTGAGCCTAACGCATCACTTATTCGAAATTCCCACCGCAGATAATCTCCAAAGAGTCAGTTTCTCGAAAACTCTATGTGTATTTGACATGGCTCACCCAATTAAGCTACGGGATCGTCCAGTAAGGTTTTGCGCTCGACAGATTTCAGATTCCTGACATCCTGCCTGTCCTCGTTCAATGATATTCGTTTACTCGAAAACTTAAGGGCTGTTGGTTCGGGGACTAATAACTAAGTTATCGAGGTGAACGGGCCCCAGATTCGAATTTGTCACGTCGAAAAACTCCTGCCCCATCATTTTCCCGAAAGTATAAGTGTTTTTGTCTGTTTTCTTAGGAGCTGAATTCTTATTGGTTTCCAACCAACCAACCAATCAGATTTCGAGGTAAATGGGCCGCAGATTCGAACTCAGTAACCTCGAAAATCCCTCGGTATATGTCTTGTGCTTGTTCACAACGTGCTACTCAGTAGTTCTCCGATACTACAGAATGCTGCAATCTCATTGATCAGATACAGAAGCGGGCCTTTTGCAGGTGGAGGAACGGTTTCTTTTTTTTCGACAAAAAGTAGACGTTGACATTCCTTTGGATGAGAGGATGGTTCCTGGAAAGTTTCGTTGCATTTGCTCGTACTGTGTCCAAATGCATGAAGAACAAACAGACAAACAAACTTTTTTCTTTATATAACTATATAGATAGATATAAACGGTTCATCTTTCGTTATTCTTTGATGAACTTGCACAACGTAAACCTTTGAAAATATTTTATTAGTTCAAATAAGTTAAGTCTATTGTTTAAAGACTATAATGAATAAAGTATCGAATGATCTATTTATCAATCTATTTCGATTTTAGAACAATTTGTAACTATAAAAAAAATATGCATTTCCGGCAATTGTGGAAAGGACGTTCTTCAGTTATATCTCATTTTATCGAGTCTCATCCTTTACAACTATTTAGAATACACCGTGTAACTATTTATACATTAGATTTTTCAGTCAACATTGATTGTTTTGTTTTAAAGATTAGACTAAAAATAATGTATCTTGAAAGTTTATTGCTTCATATTGTTGTCTTTTTTAAAGAACAAAATCATACTATCATATTATCAAACCACAAAAAAAACTAATGAATGAAGACAACAAAAAAATAATACATCAATCAAGACAACAAAATAATAATATATCAATCAAGACAACAGAAAAAAATAATATATCAGCGAAGACAACAAAAAAAGAAAATAAATGAAGACAACATAATATATCAATGAAGACAAAAAAAAATATATCAGTGAAGACAACAAAAAAAAAATTTCAATGAAGACAAAATAATAGTATATCAATGAAATCATCAAAATGTTATGTATCAATGAAATCAATGAAAACAACAGAAAAAAAAACATACATCAATGAAATCAAAAAAAAAACAGATGTTTAAATGTAATAAAACGATTGATGTATTTTACCTTTTAAAGCATAAAGAACATCACCATAATAACAAAACATTGACCTTGATAACCATCAATTATTCACATATGAATCATTTGACTTCAAGTGATGTTTTTCTTTTTTTATTCGGTTCGTAAACAAACCGACCTAAATACAAAACAATATAAAGAAATATTTCTTCTTTCTTTTTGTTGGAATATTTACCATTAATGAAATCGTCAGCATGTTTTGCACTTAAAGTAAGAGAAAAACGTTCACGTTCATCATCATCGATATCTATAAATAAAATAGCAAATATAATAATCAAACATATTTTAACACATACCACTATCATCTGCTATTTCGATAAATGCCATTCGAGATTTATGGCAAAATTGTTGAAATTCACTTTTACTAAAAGAGAAATATTATTTCTATAAAAACATTCAAATATAACTTACATTTTTAATTTTTCAAGTTTTTTGGACTTCGTCATTTTTTGATATAAATTAACATCTTCAATGACATCTGAAATGAAAAACAAACTAAATTGAAAAAAAGAAATAATAAAAACTTACTAATCCATTTTTTTTTCTCATAATTCATGTAAATACGTTTGTGTATATATTTAATTTTTTCATTTTCATCTGTTGATGAATCATTAATTAATTTAGATAAACCCTTAAAAAAAAGAAGAAAATTATATTTAGGTAATAGAATTAAGAATAATTCTTACTTGAATAACTTGATCATTTGTCGTTTTAGATGTTGCCATCTCAGTGCGTGAAGTACAATATGTGATTGTTAAATGAAATAGATGTGTGAAGGTTTGTAATAAAGTGTAATTGTTTGTGTGTGTGTGTGTACTAATTCTTTCGCTTTATATACACATAGAAGAATAAAGAATAACGTTTATATTGGACTATACAAACGGACGAAAGAGAAAGAATTAATAGTACTTCTTGAGGTCGACAACATCTTTGTGTGTTACTGGTCATTACAATGAGAGGAAAAAACGTTTCTATTGACTCAACTCGTTCACTTAATAAAAATAAATCGTTAGACAAGGAAAGAGGGCGTACATTTTCTATGTTGAAGAAAGCCATGAAATAAAAAATTCTCATGTCGAACGGTACGACTTTGGTATACGTACGGCACAATTGACTACTCAGTACTTGTGTAGTATACAAACCAAACGCAAACCGTAACGATTATATAAAGAAAGAAAAAGCGTTAGATTTTTTTTATTAATGTTTTCTCATAAAGAAACCAACCCAATTTTTCCCCAAATGAATATTTTTTTTATGCTAAGTTTTTACATAAAATAACTCAAAAGTATCTCGACTTTTCTTTGAATAACTCGAAATTTAGTAAGATATATATAATTATTGTTTTTGAAATTGATTTTTTTAGATATATTTTTCAATTTATTTTTACCTAAATTCTATAAGATTTATTTCTTTTTTATTCGGAGAAAAAAAAGTAAGTTCAATTGGAAATAATTCTGATTATTTTTGTATTCTCAGATGAGACAATAGAGATCTAATATACTGTATTTTTATTATTGTTTTAAAAGAATTAAAGAAATTTGTATTATGAAACAAGCTTTGAGTTAAAGATGACAATCGAATAATAATATTTTAATGAAGTTATATTTATATGACTTTTGTTTTAATCGACATAGAATCTAATCTTATTACTCTATTTTGCTCAAATGATATACTTCGATGCAATTTTTTTTTCATTTTAAAACAATTTAAAATCATTCTAGGGTTCAATTTAATTTGCAAAAATTAATTAATTCATTAAAAAAATGTTGCTATAAATTACAATAAATTTAATTTATACTTTTTGTTTTACTTGACTTATACTAAAAATTAATTAATTAAAAGATTTATTTTCGATAAAAATACGATAAACCTATTGTAGCTATTTTATTTCTTTTAAAAAGTGTAAAAAAAAAAGCTAGCTTTATTTTATAATTAATTTTATCTATAAGTTATGATAAGGTGTGGGTGTGGGTGTGAGTCGGTGTGAGTATGAATGCAGGTATGAGTAAAGAGAAGATTAACATTCACACCTACACCCGAGCGTTTATTATTTCAAGTACTTATATGAGAAATACTTTTAATGAGCTGAACTCATGTGCAGAAAACTATGATAACTATGACTAATAATCCATCGAGGATCGACTTGTTTTGTATAGAGAAAACTAGATTTTTGCTAACAAAACAATTTAGAGTTGAAGGTGGTTAAACAGATTTTTTTTCATTGAGACTTTATGCAAAATAGGAACATTTTTTATTATGAAAAACGAGAAGCAAAACACACTCAATGGTAATAAGCAAATTTAATAATATATGAGAATAAAAATTAGGATTAAAACAAGATTTACACATATAGATCGAAATGATTCTCTGTGTAGATTGTTGACTATTATGTGTACATGAAACAGAAAGTCTTTTAAAAGTCTTTGCATGTTTCTTTTGGATACAATGGACGAAAAGTATTAGACAATATATATGATTATTTTTTGAGTTAGTTTAGAAAAAACTTATTGCTCATGACGAACTACACTAAGCTTGATATGTAGATGTTACACTGAAGCTATTTTAATATCATCGAGATGTGTCAATTATATTCGAATAAAAAGTCTATACTGAAAAAACAGTTTTAATGTATTTAAGAGCTTATGACTTTAGATAAATTTTAAAGTCATATATGAGCCATTCCACGTAAGCCACGACCTACAGCATAGAAATGCTGCTCAAACGAGGTCTTCAGATTTTGCTCAGGTTAAGATATTCCTATAGAGGAAAGAGTTTTATGAACTTTGACGCAAGCCGTTTCGAAAAATATTGAACTGTTGATTTTTTATGTCAGTTTTACGAAAAGCACTAAAAATCAGCACTTCGGTCAAGGAGGATCTTGGCAGGCCCATATCTCAAGAACAGCATGACGAATGAAGCTGAAATTTTTTATGGACATATATCTTTATGAGTTATAGCCACCATATAAATTTCAAATCAAAATATATGGCGTCCTTCATTTTCTATGACTCATCCAATATGAGCAAAAATTCATATTTTGGGCAACTTTGGTGCTTCATAATTCGTAATAGGAATGTGCTAGATGTCTGAAATTTTTACTGGAGCCAGAGTATATAGCGATGTGTATCTCCTGAAAATTACAGCTTTGCATGCCTTTCCTCTCGATCAGCAGAACTCTCTCAAAAATGGATTTTTGATGAAAATCGTGATTTTCAGACGAGGTTTTCTTCCAATAAACCAGGTTGTATGAGGGGTGACCTTAAGAAGTTGGAAGAGTCATCTGAGATGTATAACTTCGTGACAAAATCGGTCTGGAACGTTTAGAAATGGCTTGCAGCAAAGATCATCTTTAGGAGCCCTGAACTGAATATTTGGGCCAGTCCATATATATCAATCTCATGAGTGGATCATGCTGGTGAGCTCAAATTTTGGCTGGGTGTGGGTGTGGGAATGGTATCAGTTTGAATATATTCATGAATACTCCATACCCACACATCCACACCCCACACCCTATTTCTACTCACCCTGTGATAGAAATCTTTGCTTATACTTTAATTTTCTATAATTAGATATAGACATGTATAGTTATTTATTGACTATAGTCATTGTTCATTCTATTGAAAATTATTTCTGCAACAGTAACATTGATTATTGTATCATATATAGTAATTCTATTGTCTTATTATCTTTGAATTACTATTGATATAATATTAATTAAGGGTACCCCCCCCCTCTTTTTTGACACTTTGTGGTTCTCGAAGACGGTACAACCGATCAAGCTGAAATTTTTACCACAGATAGAGCATCAAAAATAACGAGATACGTGTTCGAGGAAAAAAAATTTAAACTAAGTTTTCGAGGGGTTTTCTGGAAAACCCTGGTTTTCCAGAGGTCCGCATCCTGCTACATTACGACCCCCCTTAAATTTTGCCCGATTGGGCTGAAATTTTGTTTATAGACGCCCAACACTATTCCCCAGAGGTAAAATTAAGGATTTCCAAAAATCTCACTTTCTTTCTTTTTTATAAGAGAAATAGAGCAAGGTTTGAATTTGTGCTTCGGGTCTTGGCTTTTGCGACCCTGTAACTTGGAGTAGGAACATCAAAAATGAAAACGCTCGATTTTACCTCTGGAGAATACTCTCAAGTGTTAGTGGTAAAAATTTCAGCTCGATCAGACAAACTAAAAAGGGGGTCGTAATGTATCAAGATGTAGAAAATCGCTGTTTTCCAAAACGCTAAGTAAATGAAAAAAATTTACATACGATTACTATGAAAAAAAATTTTTTCTCGATCTAATAAATAGGTAAAAGTAAAATGTTTCGAGTCGAATAATGTCTCCAGTTGTAGGTGGCACCTCAGGCTATCATACCTTGGGCTCAACTCAAAATCGAATTTTGGGTCAAAAAAGAGGGGGGGGGGTACCCTTAAACCACCTGATGAAATCCTGGCAAGACAGAAACATCCGTTTGTCGTGGAACGACCTATTTCTACTCACCCCATGTGAATTTTTCGAATGAGAATAGGTTATGTATATGCTTTGTTTGTGATCGACTCTGTCTGATCATCAGAACAAGTGTATACGCTACTAAAGCCGTCTGAAGAGTCCTTTAGCAGGGATGAAATCATGATAACGGTAGCTAGACTCACCCTGGAAGAGATGAAGAGACATCGAAAGTCTCAAAATATACCTTAACAAGAGTCGCGTTGATACATTTTTGCCATATGTTTCGCCAGCTTTCTACTGATATTCACCCGTAAAAGATTTTTCTGTGCCGGCCGGTCCGGTCCTGTAAGAGAATTCCTTATCGGTTCCAACTCTGCGATGAATTGCCCTAGTACCGGGGATGAAGATAGAGCTGGCGATCTGATGTTATTTTTATTATTATGATGATGCTGACAGGATAGGATTTCAAAAGAGGGAGAGCGGTTCACAAGGATATAGAGATAGAGATCAAGTGTATATTGTGAGACTGATCACGAAGAACAAAAATAAACAACTGATTGTGATAAGACTACTGAGGAAAAAAAGAGAGAATAATAGAAACAGGAGGGAAAAGGATATCATCACAGAGAGCAGAATGATGGCGAACCATATAATTATAACCGAAACGCTAAAAAAAGAATAACGAAAAGACAATAACAGCATTCGTTAGCAGTAACAGTGTCATCTGCTGACACTGACAGTCTGCTAAGTTTCGGTAGCTTCAGTAATTCGTGAATACGAGGTTAAATGTTTTTCCCTCTGAGTTGAAATTGTCAAAGATCCACTTGGCCAAGTCCTTGCAGTTTTCCCAGAACAGATTGTAGCCGAGGTTAAGACGCCCTTTGTCGCACATATACTTCATCACATCTCTGATTGTTCCTTTGCCATCCGCTTTTACGGCACAGACGGTTCCTGTACTAACAATTGTGGTTTTTCTGTTCTCTCTCAGGTACTTATCACGAACAAAAATCACTTTCTTGGATCGCTGCAGGGTGATATTTTTTTCTGATGTCTCCATTGAATAGTACCAGTTTTCAGTTTCAAATACTAGAAACGCATGATAGAACATTCCAAGGCTCCACTGTACTGAAGTCAATGGCGTTGCATACACCGCAATCCACAAGATTTTGTCAGGTTTCGTCCCAGTAATTTTGTCAAATTCTTTAAGAAGATCGTTATGATGGATAGTATGGCAAGGACCTTCAGCGGTGTCTGACTCTGGATCAAAGTACAGAGTTCC